ATCTGAAGCCTATGAGACTAAGTTTCGGGAGACCCGGAGAAGAGAGCGGACAGAAGCGCTGAGCTCGCTGACCATTGGGGATACCAGCCCCGGCCCCTGCCTCCAGCTGGACGAACAGCGGGCGGGAGGAAGCGGGAAGCCCCGCCGCTGTCGCCAGGGTTTCCCTTTTTCCCCCCACTGACACTGCCACGAAAGTTAGCCCGGAAACCTGCGCTCTCCCGAAACCTGGTCTGGTCCATCCTCTGCCTCAGGAACTTCCCCCGTGGCGGGTCCGGGCCTGGCTGAAGTCTGGCGGCAGGGCGGCGTTCCGGGGCGCAGCGCCCTCTGTCGGAGGTTCGGGAAAGCCCGCATCTGGTTGCGTGCACTGGGTGTGAGAAAACCTGTGTGTATGCGGATGCTGGGCGCAGGGCGGCGGGGTGGTGTCTGCCACCAGCCTGCACCTTCGCACACCTCTTAGCAATTTTAAATTCTGCTAGAAGAGACATCTTTACTCTGCTAATCCTGTGCGTCTGCGCAGGTCAGATATGTGCGCCAGTGAAATGAGGATGCAGTTTGGGGTCCCGGAGGGCACACTTGAATGGCATAGGTTGTGTGCTTGCCTGTGGCTACTTCACTTTCTGCTGCCATCTGTCTGTGAACAAGTCCCTGTGAGCATGGGACGCCTCTGCACACGCGGAGTCTTCTCTGTGGTACACACTTTCTGTCGTTTCCCAGGACTGTGCCTAGGTGAATATGTAGGTGCCTGTGTAAGTGCAAGGTCTGAAATCCAGATGCTGATGGAGTAATGTAGGGACAAGTGCCCCAGATACACTGAAGCCTTTGTCCGTATCTCATCTCCTTGACTTTGAAAGAGCCATGGCTTTTGCTCCTGGGCTCTTAGCATACACAGTTGCTCCATCCTGATGCAAACTCAGCTTCCTGCATGGCCTTCCTTATTCACCGGTTTGTAGAACCCAGGGAGGCTGCCTAGTGCTCCCTAAGCATCTTGGCCATGATGTAAACCTAAAGAAATAAGCATCCCCAATCTCCTTCCTTTTTCTCCACCCCAAAGTCATTTCCTCCTACCTGGGATTTTGAGGTCTACTTTCCCTGAGTATTATTGATACACACACACACACACACACACACACACACACACACACACACAGAGAGGGTGGGGGAGGAACTTCTTGAAATTCCCCCAGAAGGTTTTGAGAATAGTTTTTCATGTTGCAACTTCCAACAAGTCAGTTTCTAGTTTGGCTTTCCATCAGAAAGCTCAGTAGGAGTAGAGTATATAAGCTCCGGTAGCAGCAACAAGAGCAGAAGAGACAACAACGGTTACTTGGACCCTGCAGCTTCCACCGAAGAAAGGTAAGCATCTGTCTGTCCCCCTTCCTTCAGCCTGCAGGGCACCCTTGCACCTGGAAGCATGGTGGGGGTATGGTTTCCTAGAAGCGTCCCTAGGGACTTAACATGCTGGGACCCTAGCGAACACTAAATACTTGGATGGCTAATGTATAAAGTGTCAGCTTTTTAAATCAGCTAATAATGATTGTAATGATGGTAGGCTTGTGAACAAATGCTTTTGTTTGATAGAATATGTTGGATAGAAAGGTTTATTTTGTCTTCATATATACATATATAAAAGTATGTTCCTAAGTATTATTGTCCATCTGTTAAAAATGATTGTGTAGAGTTAATGTGAATGGTGCTTGCCTTAATACCAAAAACTTTTTAAAAGCTTTTCATGCATTTCTTAAATTTATTAAATTCATACTTATTATGCCTCATAACTGACTATTTCAGACCATAATTGTCCTCATATTTCTGATGGACTTTATAGTCAGTTATCAACTAAATTGGATAGCTTGGTTCTCTGGTTCTTTTGGAATAACTAACAGTGGCCCTACTTCGAAAATGAAAAGCAGTGGCAATGTTTAAAACTACTTTCTGAAGTGTTTCAAAACCTATGAGAAGGGGAAAAATAGTTTTTACTGTACTGATGTCTTATGCTTGTCCAGATAAAACTGTGTGCAACAATAAGATCATTTCAACAATGGGATCACCAAATCCTAGCTCATGGCTCATGTTTTTCAAATAAGGAATTTTAAAATCACAGACAGAATTTGGGTAACCTCTTAAAATTCATTTTAGTGGGCTCTGAAGTGACTTTTACACATTCAGTTTACTAATAATGTGGGAAATCTATCTAGGCTAGACTTTGGGCATAGAGTGTAAAACAAGACAGACATGTGCCCTGCCATCAGAGACCTGAGAATCAAAGAACAGACAAAAGTTAAAGAAGCAACCACATTATTGTCACTGTAATCAGTTTTGTTTTTTTTGTTTTTTTGGTACTGAGGATTAAACTCAGGACCTTTTACTTTCGAGGCAGGCCCCGGAACCTCTGAGCTAAATCCCCGGCTGTAATCAGTTCTAGGGAAGAAAGAGAGCAAGTAGTCAGAGATCCTGACTTCATCTGGGCACCATGTTGCATAAATTATTTCATTAGCTCCTCACTCCAACAAGGTGTCTGTTTTACAGATTAAGAGTGTGAGGCTTACAGAGGTCACTATGACCTCCCCAGGGTCACCCAACTACCTCCCAGAGATCTACATGGTTCTAGAACTGGAGTACTATACATGTGTCACCCATGCTATCTGTGACTAGGTCTTTTATTTTTAAATAGTAATTCTCTTTTTGAATTAAAAGTAACAAGCAAAATGAAACTTGCAAAAAAGATGCCCATCAAGTGTCATTGGCACACCCATGTTGGCATCAGTGTTAGGGAGCATTGGCATATCCCAGGAAGAAGGAATGCTTAACTCAGGTACCTTTGTCCTTTGTGCAGGGCTTTCAGGAGTTTAGAAAACCTATAAAACTGCATGAAAAAAATGTTTAATTTTTAAGACTCTCCAACTTCCTGTGCCACGGAAGCATGGGGTGAGAGATGCAGTTTCCAATTGTGATCAGCCAGGGAGGTAAAGAATGATCACATACTCCACCTTGTTTTGTTTTTCTGAGTTTGATCTTCACCTCTTGTCATAAAGTGATGCCAAAATCAGAGTTGTTTCTTAGGAGCAGTGCCAGGGCTCCCTTGACCCTGGAGTGTAATTCACCTGCAATGCTCAGGTCCATGGGAGGCTGAGAGAGGAAGTGCTTGGCACACGGCCCAAGGGAAAACCCTGCCATTAAGAGACTATAAAGGAATCAGCAAGAGATGCCAGGAATCTCCATCATTTCCGTTTGCAGAGTGCTGACATCTGGGACTTATTGACCCATGTAATTGCAGTACCTCTATGGGCATTTCCCTACAGTCTAGCATGACATTTTGGCTATCCACTGTATCAACAACAGAAAGATCTATTTTTCCTTTACCTCTTCTGCTGGGGACAAGCTAATGTTATTAGTTGCCTTCTATACTATGTCATGTGATTGTGTCTCCCAGAAACACTTTCAGATGACATAGCCCTTTTATTTATGTCCATTTTATAGATGAAAAGACTCAGCATAACTTGACCAATATCATATGGCTAGTGAGAAGTGGGACCAAAATTCAAGCCTATCTCTGCTTGACTCCAATCCTATGTGTGTACCGATCAATTTCCAGTACTTTGGTATAATCATAATGTGGATTGAATAGAAAACCAGGTCCCTGACACTCCATCTGAAGTGACAAGACTATACTTAGCAGTATCCCAGGTCTAACTTCTACTCCCATTTCTGCCACTCATGAGTTTATCATATAAGGGAATAAAGCACACAGCAAGGTCCTCCTGAAATTAGCAGCAGTTCTCACAAAGCCATGGTACCCAACCAAGGGATTTGACTGAAGCATTTAATCCTTGTTAGACCAGTAGTCTTGGAAATCAAGTTCCTGCTGTGCATTGCTGTTCTCCAACATGGATGGAGGGAAGGAAGGAAATTAAACAATAATCATCTCAACCTAATTTATAAGTGGGGCATAATTTTCACAATATGAAGATTTCCATACACCCTGGATAATAATCTATACTTAGCTTTAATATAAGGTGGCAGCTGGGTGAACACAAAACTGTGAATGTTATTATTTCATGGCGAATATAGCAATGTTTCATGGTCTTCTCCCAAGAAACACTGTGGCTTGCAGGAATTCTGAAACCTGAACGTATTTTAAACCATTTGTTTCTCAAAGTATGGTCCCCAGAACAGCAGCTTCGCCTGGAACCTTATTAGAAATGCAGATCCTCAGGCCTTACCCCTAGATGTATAGAATCAAATATTGGGGGGGAAACCCAGCAATCTTTTTAAATAAGTCTTTCAGGTTATTCTGTTACTGTAAGCTCAAGTTTGAGAACTGCTGAGTTACTTTACATGGGAGGGAGTATTTGGGAATCTGTGACAATTCCTGGCAAAACAAGAGAAACTAAGTCTCTACAGGCTATGGCCAGAGCTTGAAAAGTCATCTCTATATTACCTTTTCTTTTATTAACCCAAGTCCTTTATATCCCTGGGCATCTCAACACATATTGCCTTGTACTACCGTGATACATGTAGTGGCTCATCTCCCCAACTGCAGGGGAAGCAGTTAATACACTGATTTAATAAATATTTGTTGAGTGAAAATATTTGCTCCTAGAAAGCAGGATGTAAGTGAAAACTACTTTTCATTCTCAACTCTCCTAGCTCAATGCAGTCATTTTCCTTTTGTAATCTTATGTTTCTCATCTTAAAAAGAAGAAGATTAGCTATTATCTAGCTAATTATCAGATAGCTAGATCTGTCTCTTTCAGCACCAGGTTGCCTATGTTCTCTCTCTGGAGAGATTCTTACCCAGAAATTGGACTGGGACCCATGTGATCCACTTGGTCTTATCCTAACAGTGTGAGAAAGGGGAAAGTCGAGATTAAACATGTAGAAAGGATGTGAACATGTTTTCCAAAGCTAACTGAATAACGATTGATATTATCTCTTCCCTTTTCCTGCCCCTTCTTTCTCTTTTGCTCTCTCTCTCTTCCTCCTTCTCCCGCTCCTTGCAGATGTGTCATCGGCAGTTGATCACCTCCTGGTTTTCCCTGGTGATGCTAGTGTCTCCTCTCGTGGCCATATGGGAACTGGAGAAAGATGGTAACCAGCCCTCCTTATCCCTATTGAGGGCCAACATGCTAAGCCAGACCTCCCTCTCATGCAGCGCTGATGAGAAATCAGACTGAAATGGGGTGTCCTGCACTGGGATCTCCTCGTGAGAGCCATCATCTGTGACAGAGCAAGGCCACATTTCTTCCTTTTCCTTTCAGGACATCTAGATCATTGGGTTTTCATTCTGGGTGCCAGAAAAGGAGCTCTGTGTGGACCAGAGAGGGAAAAGAGACATTGCCTTTTCCAGGTGTTTTATACAATTGAAATTCCAGAGTATTGTACAAGTACTAGGCCTATACTCTCTCCTCTCCCACTTCACACCATAGGGCATCCTCAGTTGGCACTCTGACCACTCACTCTGATTGACCACTTTGGAGAGAGGATAGGATTGAACTCACATGTCTTGGGTTCAAGTCCTGGTTCTGCCAGTTACTGGTTCTGTAAACTTGACCTGGGTCACTGCTGAGCCTTAGTTCCCTCAACTATACACTGGGTTTAAAAAGTGAAACCTACCACATAAGTAATTGTGCTAATGAATATAGAAGACAATGCAATAGATAGTGAAGTGAAAGTAAAAGTTAGCTAGCACTATTTGGGTTATTTAAAATACTATGAACTTTTTATTATCCCAGTGATAATTAGAATCATTAGTAGCTTAATAGAACAGGTATTAGTAGAATAAGGGGCTCCTTCTATTCTGCTAGTATTTCACAGTGGCCCTTGCACATTTAACTCCTTCCTTACTTCTGATTTGGTAAACCACAGAAATTCCAGAAGGTCAATATGAGAAACATTTAGCAAGCTTGTGGTGTGGGAACAAGCTTCTGGGTCCCGGCCAACTGCTGGCTTCAGAATGCTCCTCACCAGTATTTCTCTAGAAGCAACTTTCTCTGCTCTTGGGCCATGGTCTTCTAGGGCTTCTGAATCTTAGTTGTGATAGGAAAATAACCATGCTTTTCAGTTGCCCGGGGCACAAAGCAGAACTAGAGAAAGGCAAAGGTTCTGTGTCGTCTTATGTCAGCACAGCTAATCATTTCCAAAGAGTTGGGCCCTGAGCACTTTTTGACTCTTACCTTTATTACTTGCTCAGTGGTTATAAATCCCATTGATATATATATATATATATGAGAACTTTATATTTCACAATGTTTTACACTAGGATGACAAGTGTAGTAACAAGAGCCACCTGCTTACAGAGCATTTAAGGGCACTATGAAAGGCTCATATGAATTAGCTTCCATAATCCGCATGATAACTTCCTAAAGCAAGTACGAATGCTTTTCTCATTTTGAAGATGATGGCATCAAAGCTTAAAGTAGTTGAATGCTCCCTGCACAAGGCCATATGCCAATGAAAGGCCCAGAGCTGATTCTAATCCAGACCTGTGTCGCTCCAAAATCCATGCTCTTTTCTTCACTGCAGAGGCTGTTAAATTTGAGAAGGCATCAAAATCACCTGGGGGAGAGCAGCGTTTAAAAGCCAGATCACTAGGCTCATCCCAAAGTTTCTGACTCTAGCAGTTGAAATTTGCATTTCTAAAAGTTCTCTGAGATGCTGCTGCTACTGGTTGGGTGATCAGACTTTGAGAGCCACTGCCCTAAACTGGTCTACTGAGTAAATAATTGAAGCATGGGTAAACAAGCGAGTGGAGTTTTGATGTGACACACTCTTTGTGATACTGTGCAGAGCCATTCCTCAAGTGTCAGTTTAGATAACTGGAATTAGATAGCCACTGAACAACCTAAGAGACAAGAGGATCTGAGGTGCAGCTCTCATTCTTCGGACGGGTGGGACTGGGATTGCCCCCTTGGCTTTAGTCCACTCCTCTATACAATGGGAAGGCGAAGATCTACCTGACTGCTTCATAAGAATGTACGATGGTTTTAAAAAATGATAGCGATAATGAAACTCTCCCTTCCTGAGTTTCATGTGCAAGGAACTAAATACTCAAATCCCCATGGAAAATTTTAAGAGCTTTTCAGTGCAGCTGGCTGACTCTTTTGTCTGCCAATAACAATAACGACTAACAGAGTTTATCCTGTGGCAGACTCTGTGCTGATTGCTTTACATGCTTTTCTCACTTACTCCTCAGAGCCAAGCTTAAAACATAGATACTATTATTATTATCATTTTTATTATCATTTGGCAGATAAGGAAACAGAGGCTCATGGTGGTTAAACACCTTACTCTAGATGCCCCCTGCCAGTGAGCAGTGACAGGATTTCAGATCTAATCAGTGTTTTGGGACACCCAGTGCTTCTAAGCACTATTTTTCTCTGCTCAATACTGTATCCTCCCCTGTGAAACTGAAATTGTGTTGAAGTTTATCTCCATCAGACCTTTGGCAAAGAATGTTGTGCTATTTGCATTTTTTGACATATCAAGGTCTTTCCCTATGTACCCACTAATTAGAGGTTAATTATTAAAAGCAGCCTGCCAGTGAATGAGTTGGTAGCACCTATAAAACTCTTTGCTTCTCAATTCCATGACCTTGAGCCCACGTGGAGCCCAGGGTTCTAAGATCCTCTCAGGAAGCATTTGCCAAATATTTATGGATGAGTTTGTGCTTAGGGAGGGTAAATGCCCAGACAGTGAATAAAACACACTCTGGAAATTCATTCAGCTCACAGTCTGGTCTCTACTCTGCTCCCCAGTTTACGTCGTGGAGTTGGACTGGCACCCTGATGCTCCTGGAGAGATGGTAGTTCTCACCTGTGACACTGCTGAGGAAGATGGCATCACATGGACCTCAGACCAGAGTGGTGATGTCTTAGGCTCTGGTAAAAACCTGACCATCCAAGTGAAAGAGTTCAGAGACGCCGGACGGTACACTTGTCACAAAGGAGTCGAGGTTCTGAGCCATTTGCTCCTGCTACTTCACAAAAAGGAGGATGGAATTTGGTCCACTGATATTTTAAAGGACCAGAAAGGTAATGTTATTTCCTGGGATAGTGTAATTTTTATCTCCTCATCCTCAAAAAATACAAAAATTAAAAATTGAAATGGGAAGGCATGTTTAATGCATGAACAGCAAGTCCCTTTCTGAAACTACCCAGAACCTTCATTTTCCTTTGCTTTCTGAAAATCTTGGATTATCAGCCATAACAAAATATATCAAGAAACTATCAGTCTGAATGCTTGTACTGAGGTTTAGTTCAAGTAATGGAGATAGCATTGGATGTCTAATGAAAATTATCCAATGTGTATGGTGCGTAACTCATTACTGGGGTGATGGCCTTGAACAAAGTTAATACTGACATCTCAAGTGTGTAGAGTAGTACACTTGGAAGAATCAGCATCTGATTGGGATACTCCAAATTTTTGCTGATCTACCTGCCAGGGAAGCAGCATCATTTTTCAAGGAACTAAATGGAAGCACATCACCCTTGTACCATTTGATGGCCAATGATTAATTATAATCAAAATCTTTCTGGAAAAATAAAAACCTCTTAAATATTCAATTTTTTTTTTCTTTTCACATTCAGAACCCAAAAGCAAGACCTTTCTGAAATGTGAGGCAACAAGTTATTCTGGATGTTTCACCTGCTGGTGGCTGACAGCAATCAGTACTGATGTGACATTCAGTGTCAAGGGCAGCAGAGGGTAAGTGAGGCCACTCTGGCTTAGCAGTATTTTGATGCAACTATTTCATTAAGAAAATAAGAGCAAACTATCAGTGATCCCTCAGTTCAGGATAAGAGAACAACAAATTTAATCCCACATTTTTTCAACTACTGTCCCTTTTGGCTAAGCTGAAGAAAGAATATGGATATTTAAGCCTATCCGCTAAACAAATGCACGTGTTAGAGCAGGACATTAGAGATTCCTGAGAATAGTCTCTGATGTGTTTGAACCTACTCATCCAAATTGCCTGGCAAGGCTTCATTAAGGCCAATAGCACCACAGAGAAAATAAAAAGGGGAAATCAAAGCTACAAATGATTTGCCAAAAGTGTACCTTGAGTCAAAAATAGAAACAAGTGCTCTAGGTTGTAGATCCTGGAAGCCCTGAAACAGACGCCAAAACTCTTTGAAGCCTCCTGAAATTTTCCCAGGGACACTTCAGCTCCTTTTTCTTTTGAGGATACAACTCATCTGAGATGACCACTGTTTGTCCAACACACTTAAAACTTTCCCTAAGAAATGCATTTCCATGGATACAGAGCTCATCTGGAGCCCTCTGTGGAACTGAATTTAATCATCATCTAAATTCCTGAGCAGTGCAGGACAATGGAGCAAACCTTAGGTGATCATCTGGCTTTGCCACCCTTTGAATAAGTAGATTAAGCATTGGGATCTTGCTTTCCCACGTTTAAAAAGAAAACAGTTACTACCGAAGTTCTTACACCAGTGCTCAAATTCATAGCCACCTGTCTGAGGTGCATTGTAACCTTTTATGCAATCAGCACAGGAATGCTTAAATAGAATATACTACATTATACTCTGGCTTAATAGGCATTCATTAAAATGAATAACCTAATCTATATGTTCTGTCATGGAGAGTTTACAATAACATTTTCAAAGGGGCAAAACATGGTTACAATATCATATGTATGTCATTTGATCCTATTTTATTTAAAAAATCTGTTTATATATAAATAATACGTGTGTGTATGCAAGTAGATACATGATTATCTTGAATAGTAATTGAAATAAGTCTGGAGGAATCAACAATCTATAAATAGCTTACTGGGGAAGTTTTCTATCCAGGGAATGAGGTTAGGATTGAAGAGGGGATAGAGGCACATAGTATTTCCTTCAAACACATCTTTAACATTTTAACTTTTTATACTTGGTGTATATGTGCTGATTTTTCTATTAAGGTAAGAAAAAAATAACTTAAAATTTAATAAGGGATACAATCATATACTCTGGATCTAAAAAATTTCCAGATTCATTTAGGCCGAGGTATGTAAGTATAGGTTCCTAGCTCTTGAAAGCTAAGCTTGCTCTCCCTGGGAGAGTTGTTGCTTACTCCAGGGGAGAAATCAGCCCCGCTGGCCAAACTGTGTTCATAGGCAGACTGTTGAGGCCTTACCTGCCTTGTTTCTATAATCACTAGGAACCTGTTCACCACACACAAGCTAATTTCTGTCTTTGTCTTCAGCTCCTCTGAGCCTTCAGGAGTGACTTGTGGAGCAGCAACACTGTCCGCAGAGAGGGTCAGAGTGGACCACAGGGAGTATAAGAAGTACTCAGTAGAGTGCCAGGAGGACAGCACCTGCCCCGCCGCAGAGGAGAGGCTACCCATTGAGGTGGTGGTGGACGCTATTCACAAGCTCAAGTATGAAAAGTATACCAGCAGCTTCTACATCAGAGACATCAGTGAGTTTGAAATGCTTATTTGCCCTTCATCAGGAAAGATGCCATTTGTTACTTGTTTACAGTGCCCCAGGGGCTGGATAAGGGGCTCTACATGCATTCCCTTTGATTCTGCACCCCTCCCCCAAAACACACAATGTGGATGTGATTTTCTACATTTCTTTTAAAGAGGAGGAAATTGAACCTTAGAAATGTTAAGCTGTTTGTCCCAGATCTCAGATCTCACCGCTGGCAATTCAGATCCATATCTGCCTTACTAGAGAAAGCATGCTCTTTACTACACTCCTAGCTTGTTACCCAATTAGATGACACAATGGATCCAAGGGTGTCTTGATCGTATTTATATAGAGAACCAGAACTTTCCCTATTAATTGCAATCATCTTTCCCTAGCACCCAAAAGATACATACAGGATAATGTATATGTATGTATTCAGAAAGTGATTTATATAAAGTCCTCCAAAACTGACACTTATTTTTTAATTGGCAGATAGAAATTTCATCATTAATCATTTTCTTCACCATTTATTCATTGAACAGGCATCATGACAAACTGTGATAGGATCAGGATCACAGAACTTGCTCTAGTATTTGTGGAAAGTTCATACATGGCAGGTGGGAGGGATGTGGCTCTCAAGGTGACCAGGGAAATCCTCTCTGAGAAGATGTCATTAGCTGAGACCTAACGGAAAGATGTCAGTTGTATTAAGAACAAAGGGAAGAATATTTGCCAAGCACCTGCTAGGATCCATGGTCTTTGTATGGAGCAATGCCGGCCTCCAGAGCCCCTGCGCATTCCATGGAAAGTCTCCCCCTGAAGTAGCAGAAAATCCCCTCCTGGAGGTTGGAATCTTCCTGCTACTCATCGCTGTATCCTCCAGCTAGAGTCCAGTGACGGGTGCTCAGTAATTATTTATGGCAAAAATGAATGAGCAGAGAGACAGTTGACTCTGCTACAAGACAAATCAGTGACAGCAGCTATGAAAAGACCAAAGAAAGAGCAGGAAGTGGAAAATCTCTCCTTTCATCCCCAGTGAGCGACTCGGCCAGCTCAGTTCTGTGTGTAGTGCAAAGTGAGGGACTAAGCGGGATGAGGGTGCTCCTTCACTGCAGACCCCAGACAGGAGAGTCTTGTCACTAAGAGCTCTCTTCTGAGCACTACGCAGGGGCAGTGCCACCACCAGGGCCCATCTGGTGGTGCACTGATGACAAGGATTCTGAGTGTCCCTCGGGTTCCAAAGTAAAGGCTGTGGCCACTGAAAATGACCTCCTCCCATGAGCACCAACAGGAGCATCTGCAGCAGAGGGGTCTCCCTCATGCTGGCCAAGTCCTCAGAGAAGCTAAGAAACTACCCTTTTACTCACAGTTGGTCACAGGGACAAGGGGTGTCAGAAGCCAAAACCATCTAATTCCAAAGCCCCACTAGGAAAATAAACCGTGTTTGTCCTCTTCCACAGTCAAGCCAGACCCACCGAAGAACCTGCAGCTGAAGCCATTAATGAATTCTCATCAGGTGGAGGTCAGCTGGGAGTATCCTGACACCTGGAGCACTCCACATTCCTACTTCTCCCTGACGTTTGCAGTTCAGGTCCACGGCAAGAATAAGAAAGAAAAGGTAAGGTGTGATCCAGGTGCAGTATATGCTGTGGTTGTACGTGGGTGTATGCGGCCCCAGATCGGAGAGAGGAATGATAATAACACCTGCTATGTGTTAACACTTGCTATGTGCCTGGGATGTGGTAAGGGCTTTCCACGTCTATCACATTTAATCCACACAGGTAACCTATGGACAGCAGCTAATACTACCATCACTGCTGGACAAGTGAAGACATTGAAGCTCAGAGAGGAAGTGACAGACCTAGGACACAGGCTCAGTCTGCCAGACACAAAAACCAGAAACCTACCCGCCCTCCTGCCTTCAGTCTGGCCAATCATTAATCCTTGTGGCAGAATCGATCCTTCTATAGGAGATCTAGGCTCCAGGAACCCAAGATGATTGTTTCAGCTGGCTGAATATAATGAGTAATGGAGCATTCACACTTGTCTCACCCAGTATGGCTATTCCAAGTATTGTAGAATTACTGCACTATAGGCCAAAACAATGGCTTTTCAACTTGTTCACCTTAGTACCATACTCTTTTGCCTCTTGCAAAGTTCCAGAGACACTTTTATAGAGCCCCAGCCTTCTGCTTTTTTTTCTTGGTACTGGGGGTCGAACTCAGGACCTTGCACTTGTGGGACAGGCGGTGGAACCACTGAGCTAAATCTCTGGCCCCTAGGCCCCAGCCTTCTTAAACTCCACTTTTAAAATCAGCAGAAAAGGCCTTGCTCAGCATAGCATTTAGCATGTGGCAGAAACTCAGTGACAATCACTCCCTGAAAAAGAGGAAGAAGGGAGGGGGTCTACTCTGGAATAGTCTGGAATACCTAAATATTACCTAAAATCTTAGAGGTGCTTTCCTATTTAAGAAATATATACATCATTAATATATGATAGTGGGTGCTTTTTAGGTACTAAAGTCCTGCTCAGAGTTTTTACATGATCATTATTTTCAACCTCTGCAATTCTAGGAAATAAGCATTGTTGTCCCTGTTTATACATGAGGAAAGATACAGAGAGCCTAAGATATTTTGTTGAGGTTCCAAAGCAATTAAACAGCAGCAGAAGGATTTGAAGGATTTGTTGCTGAAAGGATCAGCATACGGTGTTTCTAAATACCCAGGGGACAGCTAGAGACAGTCGTCTCTGCTTAGTGCTGGGATGACAGGGTACCTGTGCAGAATGATAAAAGCAGGACCAAACCATTTCTCTCTCCGCGTTTGCAAAGCAGCAAAGTCACATCTGTGGTGGTGCAAGTTCTGCTCGATTTCCTGTCAATCACAAGGTTGTACATGTCACAAGGGCAGGCCACGCCTGTAGAATCAGGCTAGGCCTGCCCCATGACTGCATGGGCAAGGGGACTTAAGATTTCCTTCCTCTTTACAGAAAGATAGACTCTCCACCGACAAGACCTCAGCCACAGTTTCATGCCACAAGAATGCGAAGGTGTACGTGCAAGCCCGGGACCGATACTATAGCTCATCTTGGAGCGAATGGGCCTCTGTGTCCTGCAGTTAGGTGAGTAAGACTGAAAAGTACTGCACACCCAGTGCCCTGGGTGGAGGCCAGTGATGACTGGGTGGGAGCTGTTGGGGGAGGGAAAGGAAGAATGGGGTGCTCACCAGGGAGACAACAGTCAGAAACGTATTTGTCCATTAACAGACAATGATTTGATGCTTCTATTATGTCAGGCACTGTGCTGGGCCCAGGGATAGTGCAGTAAAGAAAACAGACATAGTTCTTGCCCTCATAAAAGGCAAGACGGGGGTGGGGAGAGAAGTAGGCATCAGAGCAAAAGGGACTTAGAAGCTTCCGGGCATTAAAACCTTATCCTGGGGGCCCTGTGGAGCCACTGAAGAGTTTTAAACAAGGAAATAACCCTATCAGACATTCCTTTAAGAAAAACCCTCAAGAGAGCTTCCAGACAGCATGGTAACAGCCACATTTTAGACTACACAAGCTAATGTTAGTCCTTCTCACATGGCTCCCCTAAACCCCACAGCCTGGGAGGATGGATGGTAAGAAATGAGAAGGGTGTGGCACTTTTCTAATCCACATGGATTTCCAACATTCTTTTTCAGGTTCCAATCCCAGAACGAAACTTCAGAGGAAAAAAGGAAGAGATTAGGCAAAAGATCTTAAAGCCATGATGGAATAGACTGAACAAGACATTTTATTAATTTGTTTTTTAAAAATTTTAGGATCTTTGCTATCTTTTTATATTTAGAGGCTAAATGCACACTGACACAATGAGCTCATCTATTTATAGGTTTTTTGACACTCTAATTGCCACTGACCTTAATTGTATTTAAATATTTAAGTAATATATGTATTTATTAATTTATTGCTGTTATTTAATGTTTATGTGCCAAGATATATTGAGTGTTTCATACGTTCACGACCTGATCTATATGGATCATGCTCTTTGATGCAAAATGTGAATTTAAGTGTTATTTATATTGACAATTTTTCAAGCAAGACTTCGGGTACATTGGTTTTATGACAACTAGAAAGAACACAATGTTCTGATGCCAGCACTATTATGTATTTGTGATGAATGGAAGGACAAGAGATATTTAAATAGAAACATAGAGACAGGAAGCTATGGGGGAGAGCCTGAAAAAGTCAATAATAGTTCCAATGAAGACTTCCTAGAAGTGGTATTAATAAGCAATTCAGAGCCACCTGCACTTCCAAGCAAGTTTAGCCCTTAGATGCCTGAATTTTAAATAGGCAAACAAATCAACAAAAAGATTGAAATTGAATTTCAGCTTCCACCTCCCTGGGAGTCCCCACCCCCACTTCTGTAAGACACAAGAGGGTGGCCCAGAAATATCATAGGTGACTGGAAGATAAAAAGCTCTTTGGATTCAAGAGGGAAAACAGTTCAGTTCTGGCACAGGACATAACACTGTCAGAATTGCCAGTAGCTTCTTAACAGTGACACGTAAAAGCAGAGAAAACTTCCCCATCAGCATGTGTGAATCTGTGGTGCTGATAGGACCAGAAAGTATCACTCTAGTTAGGTGCTAGTTTAAGTAATGAACACGCTTTCCATAAAATGATTATGCTTGATTTCTGGTTGGTTATTTATTTATTTATTTATTTATGCATTCTAAGCCAAACTAATAAAAACTCTACTTTGCAAACATATTTTGGGCTTTCTCAGCTGATTCTGGGACTCTGTTTCTGAGTCTCCTGGGGTACATTTTCCCCCTATCATTTAAGAATTGCCCCTCCTTGAAGTGATTTCATTTCCAATTTTGCAGAACTGTTCTTTCCTTTTATAGTATTTCCAAAGTCAGGATCTTGCTGAGCTCACAGAATGTCCCTGCAGCTGACCAGCAGGGACTCTTTGCAAGGGCACCAGAATGCATTGTGCCCTCTTTAGGAGTTGGATACCCTTGCTTCTTCCACCTTCTATCATGGGATTGATTCTATGCTTTCTCCAACATTGCGAAGTAAAACTCACCTGGCAGAGCCTTGGGTATCCCATCTCATAGGTCCAGCCCCAGTATTTATTGAGAGTTTCAATGCATCTGGACATGAACTTTACCTTGGGGTTGAGAAGTCCCAATCAACTGTGCATAGCCTCCCCCAAACAGTGCACATTCCTGGCACTCCTTGTAAAACAACTGAGAAGTTGATTTCAATACCATTAAGTTCTGAAATGTTCAGTATATATGATACCCTGGAATGAGAATGAAAGACAAGGACCCATGGAACCTAGAGTCATCCAGGAAGACTCAGTAGTGAAGAGAAGGTGTCAACTTTGCACTCAGAGGATGAGTGAGCCCTGTCAATTTCCCTTTGGTGCCTTCTATGAAAAAAGCCAGTGATGGAATCAGAATAGCGACCTATCCTGAAAATCCAAATGTGCACATCTGGGCTGGGTAATTAAATGGGATTGTTTGAATTCCTGATTTTAAGCATCCCCTGGAGCCCTTATTCCATTCTGCTCCTGGCCTGGAGGAATGGTGGGAAGTTTCTGTCATCCCATTCCAATCTTTGAAACATCCCATCTTGAATTATGAGCCCACACGTGACAGCACATACATGGTTATTGACAGCTGTGTATCCTACAAAGTCTCTCCTCTAGAGATATCCAAACATTTAACGGAAAATTAACAAACCACACTAACCAGGAAAAAAATCATCACACTTCATAAGCCCAAAGACCTAGGATATTTCCCAAAACTTTCAGCCAGTCTGGGGCAGAACTCAGATATTCTGGCTCCTATTGTGCCCAGTGTTTTTGGACGTAATCTCTTAGTGTTGATTAATTTCAATACAAGCAATGGGAAGCTTTTCTCTTTTAAAAAATATTTTTCAGGACATTCGTTTTTGTTGAAAATCTAGCCACTATGAGATGCATCAAATGTCCAAGCAAGATTCCAGGCTAGGAATCAGACAAGCAGGTCCTATGCCTGGCCAGACCTCCATGTACCCATATGACCTTGAGCAGGACCCTGGACACAGCCTTAGGTTGTCCAAACAGTACTCACTCCCAGTTTCCTTCTCCCTGATGCTGCTCCTCAGCTCTACAAGTTGGGAAGCTAAGCAGTTCCTTTTCCAGCCATCCTTGCTGCTCAGCAAAGCCAAGAGACCCAGTTCTGACTAATGAGATGTAAGAAAATTCCACTGGAGAATGGCAGAGATGATTTGGTTTTATGAGAAAAGACAGAGCCATGACCAGCAATCATTTCCCTCCTTCCTCTCTTGAGTAGATAAAATCTGGGAGGCTTCAGAAGGTACTTTGCAGCCAGAATGAAAGCCATCATACAAAACTGCACAGCAAGAAAGACTCTGGGCCTAGTGGCATTATCAGGCAGCTAAACCAATCCCTATAACTACATAACCCCAGATTTCTCATGGAGTGATGTCTTAATCCATTTTTTGTTGCTATAACAAAATACCCCAGACCATAAAATTTATAAAGAACAGAGATTTATTTAGCTTGTGCTTCTGGAGGCTGAGAAGTGTTAGCATCTGGTGAGACCTTTCTTGTGGTATCATATGACATGGTAGAGGGCAACACATGGTAAAATACAGCAAGTACGCTAGCTTGGGTCTCTCTTCTTCTTCTAATTATTAATGCCCTCATAGGTACCCTTCGTGACTTCATTTAATCCTTATTGTCTCCAAAATCCAATACAAATAACACATTGTTGCAGTTTGGATCTGAAACACCCTCCAAAATTCTTGTGCACTAGAGGTAGCTCTTTTGGAGAGTGGTTGGATTATGGGGGTGCTACTCCTAAATTGCTGTTAGCAGGTAGGGTCTGGTTGAAAAAGGCAGCTCACTGAGGGCATGACCTAGAAAGGCATGTCTCCCTTCCAGGCTCCTCTCTTCTCTTTCTACTTCCTGGCTACCATGACTAGAGCAGCTTCCCTCCTTGGCAGACCCTTCCACCATTCTGTTTCTCAGTTTGAGCCTTTCAACCATGGACTGAAACTTCTGAAACTGTGAGCCAAAATAAGCCTCTCCTCCTTTAAATTGTGGGTGTCAAATACGGTGTCATAGACAAGAAAAGTGACTAAGATACATACATTTGGGGATTACATATTCAACACATGAACTTTTGAGGGACACATTCAAGTCATGGCAGGTGAGAAAGACTTATATTTGCTTTCTCTATCTCCTATTTCATCTTCCCAAACTGAAACTCAGTACCCATTAAACAGTAACTCCCCTATATTTGTTTTTAAAATAGAAAATGAATACACCAAAAATTACATAAAGACATCTTTCTAAAAATCCAGACAAGAGAGGCTCCCAGCCAAGTCAGAAAAAGGAGAAAAGTACAGAAAGGACTCTGTGGTATGACATCAGAAAATCTGATTCTGCCTCTCACAACTGGCACAAGCTTGTTAAAGACTTAGAACACCCAATTTCCAATGATTCTGGGTGGGGACCCAACATTCTGCCTTCTTATCCCATGCAGGCCCCCTTTGAGATCTGTATGAGCCAAACAAGGAAGGGTCTCTTTCTCACCTCCCATTTTCAATAAGAAAAGCAACTAAGGGGAAAGTGCAGTCACAGAAGCTGTCTCTTTACACCCTAGGCCACCTTGTGAAAAAGGTATTCTCATTGCATTCCTATTGACACGGATGAGGAAACTGGCCAGTGCCTTTCTTCCAAGGGAGGCTGAGTATCAGTAGGATTCACCTGAAGGGCAAGGAGGGAAGGCAAGCTGGAGGATCTCCTGGGAAAGGCAACTCTGCTGTTACTTCATGCCACATGCTTAAAGTTGCCGCTCTGTCCCTGACACCATCCTCACCTTCTTGGATCCTTCTTGGATCTTGGGTGTCCACATGTCCCCACAAAGCCCCATGCAGTCATAGGGGGGCTTTTCAGAGGTGGCTGGATCTAGAGTATGTGATGCTGAGACTGATCCATGGTGTGATGCTAGGATTAAAGATGCTCCACCATGGATGTGAGTGCTAAGAGCAGGTAGCCTGGATAGAATATAAAGGACAGAAAAAAATTGTTGCTGCTTGTTGCTTGCTGCTTGCTACTTTGCTGCTTGCCACCTTCTGTCTACCATGAACTGTTTCTTCTCCGTGATGCCCTTCTGCCATCACACACAGCCTTGGAGCCAGCTGACTACAAACTGAAACCTCTACAAACTGTGAGCTGCAATAAACCTTTCCTTCTTTAACTTTGGATGTTGGTATTTTGTCTCAGCAACAAGAAAAGTACCTAAGACCAAATCCCACACTCCCATGAGTTCTAACCTTCAGAGGACCAAATGCTTATAACCCTAAGCACTGGAACTTCTTAAGCATTAAGGGCCCTATGAAATGAGATAATCAGTTTAATGTGATAAGTGCAGAGTAAATATTAGCTATGTCCACTGGCTAATCCTTTGATCTTGAATAAATTACTTAACATCTTCAAGGCTAAGTTTTCTCATCCTTAAAATGAGATAATCATAGTATCTATCTCATAGGGTGGTTGTGAGGATTAAATGAAATGATGCTAAGCAAGTGATATATGGCATATCATATATATAATATATATATATAACATATATCATAGTGATACATGTGATATCTCTCCTCATCCATCATAAGGATCATGGGTGACACTCTTGTAACAAAGACAGTTTAACAAGAGAAAAACATGACAAACGTATTGAATTAAAGTTCTTTAGGATGTGAAAATCTTCAGAAATGAAGACCTGAAAACTCTCTCTTTTTTTTTTTTTTTTTTTGGTATCGGGGATTGAACTCGGGTCCTTGCGCTTGCGCAGCAGGCGGCGAAACCACTGAGCTAAATCCCCGGCCCAAAACTCTCTGTTTTTATGTTTAATTTCAACAAACAGGATCAGTGGAGAAATGGAGTGGACCAAAGGGCATGGCCTAATGGTAATAGACTGAGGGGAAAACTCAGCAAAACCTATCCTTTTATATGTTTCTTGGCCTCTTCATGTAGCATTCCTTCCCCTCAGGTATGAGGCAGGACCCCTCTGGAATGAGGATTTTCAAGAGAAGGTAGAAGGGAGAGAATGACCTTTATAGGCTTTATGGCTTGTTTTGGGGAGCAAGACTTTAGTTTCTGAAACCTACCTTGGAGAAGAGTTTAGTTTCGAAGGCTCACTTTGGGAAACAGGACAGAAGCAGAAGGTCAGAGGGACACTGTTTCTGAGCCCCTTCTTTAGTTCAAACTACTCAGTACACCAAAATGCCGTACCGTGAAGTATGCTTTTTGAGTCACAGCAGTGTTTAGAAAAGTACCTGGTCCTTGGTAAGCATTAAATAACAGCTTGCTGTTATAAGACTTCTTATACAACTTAGAGTCTGAAAGAAGCCTAATTCTAGACCGTGCTTTTTGCAAGGGATGGCATGGTGTTGTAGATGTTACCAGGCCTTGGTGCCCCTGAGAACTGCAGTGGGATGGGGGGATCATTAATCAGCCAATGGGGAAGAAAGAAGTGGCTTACTGGATTGAGACTTAAAATCCTCTTTAGGGTAAAGCCCTCTTTCTTATAAATAAAATTGCAAAAACATTCCCACTTGGAGGATATGGAGACCAGTGAACCCAGCCCCTACCCTCAAGGATTGTAGTCTGG